CGCGATAGAAACCCAAACCCACTCACGCACTGGTGATAATTCGAACAATATGACACAGGTTGTTATCGCTAAATAGGCAATGGCTCATTGAAAACGTACGTTGAAACAGCACACCGTTTATTATTCATATATAATTTATTTATTTGAAGTTTCACGATATACGGCTTCTCCAGAGAGGTAGGTCACATGACCGCGAAATTGAAGTTCATAAGTGTATGAACGACACAATTTGTCGTTTAAACGTTTTTCAAGAGACTTTATTCTTGAAATGACGTAAACACTGACGGACTACTTCCACATTCCTGGGGAAACCCATTGGAATTCCCCAGCACGACTACACACAGAATCGTTGTTTCTGATCATTTAGAACCTTTAATCTTCGACTCAGTAGACATTGAGAAAGATCAAGGGTTTGAATGCATTTTCGTTCACGAATATCCTCGCTACGACCCATCCAAGTGAACGAAAAAATAAATTCACATCCAAACTATTGTAGTATCGACTCGATCCGTGTCTTACCAATTACGACTGCACTAAAGATTTTCGATAGCATGGTTCTGGTTCATAGCATCTTATTCCAGTTTGGGTTTAGCTACGCCTGGATTATGCAAGATGTTGGAAATGTTTATCTTTTTATGTCTCAGTTTAAGCAACGTGTATCCGATTACAGCATCCAACGACGGCATTCATCAATATCATCAAATCCAAAGCTATTGGCATATTCAACCTACAAATCAGTTTTACAGACCGAAGATAGATAGATAGATTGTCTTTATTTCCTCCAGTACTGAAGATACATTATATAAGATACATTGTAGATAGATGAATTAGGTTAAAACTAAACAAATAGTTACATTTCATAGTGAAGGGGGTATGAACAAGTGTTGCCACTTGTTAACGTAATGAGAGACGAGTAACATAGTTTCGCCCCATATCTCAAGCTCAAGGTCTTTCATGCAATCAGGCAGTCCGCCTAAGAGGAAAGACATGATAACATCATCATCATTTGACCAAAGGTCAACAAAGGAATTCGCATCTGTGATATCAAAGATATTTTCGAACATTTCATTTCTTTCTTGCATATTAATAGTACGTGACATAAAAATGTGTTTGACTATGTCATGGGCTACAGTTCCGCAATGACATTCTCGTGATTCTATCTTAGAGCAGACTATTTTGACCATATTATACAGAACATAAAACTTTGAAGGAAATCGTAAAGAAAGTTACCAAATCCCGTGTTGACCTTCTGATCTGATACCAGTATATCTTAACAGGTCCTGTCGGTCGCACATCTGTTTCAAAAGCCTTACAGAATCTACATTTCTTATCTTTTCATTCACAAGACTAGTCCATTTACATTTACTGGGAATATTACAATTAGCTATGTACTCATAGACAAGATCGTATTTATGTACAAGGCGCAGCATGTTTAAACAGGGAGATTTATATCTTACCCAAGTCGACTCTACACTATTGAAACAAGCGCTGTCAAGATTCAGATGCAGCTGTCATCAGTTGATGATCGAAATAGGCAGACGCAAAGGCATCGATCCAGAATGTCGCTTGTGTAGATATTGTCCTCGATTAAATATTAGTCTAGTGGATAATGAATATCATTTTGCACATGCCCTGCTTTTAATGATTTAAGATCTCGATACATTGATCCTAAATACTTTGTAAATCCGTCACTGGAATCCTTTGTTCGCCTGATGTGTTCTAATCATAAACCTACTATTGTACAGTTATCAAAATTCATATTGAATGCAATGAATGCGTATTCCTGTAATGTTTTGTTCAATGGGATTGTGGCCTCTAACTTGAATTAAAGGTGTTGATTGACTCGATCCGTGTCCTGGCAGACAGATACAGTCTACAGCAATCTAGTATTTAGTTCGTAGGATAGGTCTTCAGCAACCAATGCTTACCGTTAAAGGCGACTGTGCTTGTCGTGAGGGGCGACTAACGGGATCGAGTGGTCAGGCTCGCTGACTTGGTTGATGCATGTCATCGTTTCCCAATTGTGGGGATCAATGCTCATGATGTCAATCACTGGATTGTCTGGTCCAGACTCGATTATTTACAAACCGCCGTCACATAGCTGTAATATTGCTGAGTGCGGCGTTAAACAAACAACAAACATAGTATTTAGTTAACACATCTTTACAATCACCTTTCAATTATTGGCCAATTGATCAATGATGACCAACACTATAACTTCGGAAATCTTTCCCGTTACGTTTATCGTGTCGCCCATTTGACGTCTTGGTGTAAATAACTTGTAGTACGACCCGCTGTCGTTGTGGCTGACTTACTGAGGTAGTTCTTAACAGACACAAGATAATGGTACTTCCTTCGACCAGCGGGTGGCCCAGTCGTCTAAGGCGCCGCGATTCGCTGTCCAGAGTTGCGTCCCTTGGGCAAACCAGAAACCTATGATTGTGGTTTCGAATCCCGGTTCGCCCCGATTATGTTTCTAGGTTTGTCAGCACGATACCCGTGCTCGTGGGTTTCACCTAAGTGGTAAACGTCTAAGACCCGCATCACTTCGGGCTTTCCTCCCACATTAAAATGGCACGCCGCGATATAATTGGAATACTGTTAAAAGCGGCGTTAAACCCAACTCACTCACTCCTTCGACCAGAGGCCATATACCAAGGGCTTGGTATATATGGTCTCTGCTTCGACCTTTGGTCTCGTGGTGTACACGCCATTTCAGGCCTACTTAAGAAAAACAAACAAACGTGTGTTCAAAAACGTAGAAATGTGTACAGTAGCTGTCTGTTTTGCACACTCAAACTATTGACGGGGTTGAGGACAGGTCGACAATGTATTCAGAAAACATCATGTTAAGAGCGCCTGGATTGCATATCGTCCTTTTCTGAACACAATATCGACTCGTACTCAACCCTGCATGTAACAATAAAAACAACGTACACCCCGCTAGTTTGTTTATTTGTTGTTTAACGCCGCATCAGCAATATTTCAGCTGTATAACGGCGGTCCGTAAATAATCGAGGCTGGACCTGACAATCCAGTGATTAACATCATGCGCATCGATCTACGCACTAGGTTTTTAGGTTTGGTTTGTTGTTTACGCCGCACTCAGCAATATTCCAGCTTTATGACGACGGTCTGCAAATAATCAAATCTGTACCAGACAATCCAGTGACTGACATCATGAGCATCGAGCTACGCAACTGGGATACGATGACAGGCATCAACCAAGTCAGCGAGCCTGACCAGCCGATCCTGTTAGCCGCCTCTTACGACAAATATAGTCGCCTTTCACAGCAAGCATTGGTTGCTGAAGACCTATTCTACCCCGGATCTTTACGGGTCCTTCGCAATTGGGACAAGATGACATGCATCAACTAAGTCAGCGAGCCTGACCACCCAATCCTGTTAGTCGCCTCTTACGGCTAGCATAGTTGCTGAAGACCAATTCTCTACCCGGATCTTCACGGTTTACATCCCGCTAGTGACACATATAACATCATACTATGTACTTATGCACGATCGTCAGGTCACAACCATCGATTCTTCCAGAGTTAAAGTGTTTATAGCTGCTGATCTTTGAACGTCATTGGGTCCACGAATTTAAATGTCGGCCAAGAGAATCTTGACCAAATGAACTTCCAAAGACTTAACAGATATGATCAGAGGTCGAGATAACCTGCGATAAGTACGCACGATAAATAACCGTTACCCTCATAGGTTTGGACCGCCTCCGTGGTCTAGCGTCCGCCCGGAGAGCGGAAGGTCCGGGGTTCGATCCCCGACCGTGTCATACCAAAAGACGTTAAAAGATGGTACTTGTTGTTACCCTGTCTGACGCTCGGCATTAAGGGGCTAAAACAAAGACTGGTCGGCTCGGAGTCAGTATACTGTGTCTGAGTGGGGTATTCATGTTAAACTGCGGCATGGTGTGTCAGTGAGCTAGCACTATAAATCGGCATCAGTCCGGACTAGTACAAGCACACACACACACACACACACACACACACACACGTGCATGCACGTCGCTATATAAGTGCAATAATTTTGAAAGCGACGTTAAACCCCATTTCACCTCATCTCATACGTTTGAGTTGCTTGTGGGTTGCCATTTTTCCATGGGTCCATTTTCTCTTTTACCCTTGCTTCTGTACAAATACTCACGAAAATATTTAAGGCCCGCTGGTATATAACGACACTGTGCGTTATTTCCCAATGTATCGTTTTCTGATAACGTACCTGTATGTCGTCACAGATCTTTATTTACTGACCGAATACACGTGAACTCTACTTCATATATATCACCACCGTCATATAGCTGGAATATTGCTGAGTGCGGCGTTAAACAACAAACCAACCAATCATATATATCACTTATATTATCAGTGAATAATGCATTTCGTCTCGCTTATTGTATTGTCTGCGGTTAGCTTGTGCAATATGTGACACACGTGGGCACCATATGGACAGACGCAAATCAACAAGTCAACAATATGTTTTCAGAATGGTGTTTATTAAAGGTTTAAAAAATGCCCAATAGAATAGACCCAAGGGATTAAAAATATATTCATTTGAATTCCCTTAGAAAAATATCAATTACCCAATGTGAATGATAACGTGGGTAAAAACTCAATGAAAACACAATAGCTGGAGCCTTGTACAATCATAGCAGTCAATGCATCGGTGCAGTCTAGTAATTATGAACTGCTAAATTGATATGCACACTGTACATATTGACCTAGCACAGTAATCGACAAACAGTTTTGCTGGTATTGCCAATAATAGCCTACCAAGCTCCACCTTATTCTAGATATTTCAACAGCTGTTTCAAAAATGATATGTATATTGTTTCTTCCCGTCAATATGATATTTCTGACACAACGCTGCGAATAACACAATTTAGATGGCATTGACATTTTAAAACGTTTCTTGTGACTATTTGGCGAATATTTTGACACAAGTTATTAGAGTTATCTGCCGTTATTTGTATACAGAGGGCGCGTTTTCCAATATGGCAGCTTCCTTACGAGAGTAAATCTGGAAGACGTGTAACATTTGCATTTTGATGTCACAACTATTATTAGTGGCAGTAGGATAGCACGCTGCCCAGCAATTTTATCGAATTGATTTTAAGTGTCTGTGTGGGAAAATACCTGTGACAATTAATGGTTGTTTTGGAAAAAAAGTGTTTCCATAATTGACAGCTTGACAAACTACGCCTTCCTGTGTTGTCTGCTAGAAAACGTGTGACCGGTGTTTTGGAAGTTCAACAAGTTGTTACACCTCGTGGAGATAAATATTCTGTCTGTAACTACATGTGAGGCTAAGTTACCTTACCGCTGTCATAAAGCAATTTGATAAGTTGGATCAATATGGCAAGTCGAGCAAAAAGCGACCCAGCAGTGGCCAAAAAATTGCTGGAAAATCTGCAGAATGACTTACGAACTTTGTCTTCAGAGAGTAAGAGGAGACATCCAGAGGTGAAAGAGGTACGCTATTAAAAACATCATGTGGGAAAGCGTGCAACTGCTCTTAATCAGTAACCAGACAAAATGACTTTTCAGCATGGCAATATTGGTGCTTCTCAGCATGGCTAACCTAAACATGAAAATGTCCTTAAGAATTGTTGGTGTGATAATAGAATCTGTTCGCCACCCAATAGTATAATAAAAACAATATATCTCTCAGGAAAAAATATTAAGTATTGCAAAATAATTATTTACGCATCTCTCTTCGATCGTTAGGGTTAGTTGTGTTAGGGTAGGTTACCCCCCGACTCCATCCTCTGAATTGTTGAATTACACCCAGATCATCCAGTGCTATTTCACCCAAATTGTAATGTTGGTGTATAATTGTTTAGAGTCCACTGACATGAGTCCATTAGTTACATAAGACGCTACTGAAGCTTGTCCTTTAGACATGCTAGAAATGTACTAGTAGTGCTTCAGAGTCAGGTTCCAACTTTTCAGACCCTATCTAGATGTGTGAGTAATTAATGTGAAACTGAGACACTGTTTCTGTGCAGAGTGATCATTAACTGCTGTTTTCGTAAAACTTAAAGAAGCTGTGTCTCACTTATTCAGGGAACCTACTGTTTCTCAGTTACTGATTATCATATAGATAATTGGGTATTAGTTGAGTGAATACTTGTACCCAGTAGTTTGTAATGGATGGAATAAAATGAATTGTGAATCTTCATTTCCAGTGATGTTTTATCGTAAATTTTATGTTTTCATTGACCAAATTTGCAAACGGCAAAACAAGAGCACAAACTCCTATTGCCACCATGACCATAACACAAGATGTGCAGTAACGCAGTGTGCATGTAAAGAGTACCTGCACTCTCTATTGGATCACATTTTTTTAAAGTATTGTAGCATTTCACTGCCGGGGTCGTGTGACACGCAGAATATTTAAGGATTTGTTTAAAATAGAAATGAAAATATAACGTGCAGCAGACCTTATGATGATGCGGGCGGCGCCTGAGTACCAAGACTATTGTATTTTTAGCCTTGAGTACCTTTGTTTTTTTCCCTGTTGACTTAATTGTGTTATTAAAAATACTTCAAAGTAAGGTGATATAGGACACATGTTGGGAGTGAATGATCCTTTTGATTTTTCATAAAGACTTTATCATCTTCTTTTTAAAGATCGATTAAACATGTTAACAAAATATGTTTATTTATGTTTCAGAAAATTTGTAATACATATGACTAGACAAAAGATACTTTCAAAATGTCTAATCCAACATGTGATAATGGTACATAAAATGTTTTACATCACAGTACCAGGGTTGAGAGATATATCCTGATTGGGCTGTACATTTTGTCCAGTTATCGTTTATTTTCCCGTCTGTATGAGATATGGTGAACTCACTTAATTTGTCTCAACAATATCTTATTACTATTAAGCTTGACTGTTTTTAAGAGGTTTCTTTGAATATGAGACTTGAACTAACCTGAAAGTTTCTCCTTCTTGTCCCAGATGTATTTGTGTGTGTATGGTCTCATACTATAATATTTCCTTTTCAAATTTCAGGCTGCTGAAACCATTCAGTTGAAGTTAAGGACTATTGTATCCAAGAATGAAAACCTAATTACAGGTTGGTAATTCCACTATATTTCAGCTTTGATGTTAGGGATGCCACAATTCATTGATGCATCTTGAATTATTTGCACCTGTTGCAACTATATGTATTTATATTTAAATTCTGTGTTGATTTGCCGAAAACTAAATATTTTTCAAAGTTTTGCAAGATTTACTTTTACGTGTCATTCAAAAAAATATATGCTAGATCTGATTGTATAAAGCTATTACAACGAGCCTGTACTGAACCATCATGCAAGAATCACACAAACTAGTTGATGGGCTCAACTTAATGTTTGTTTGGGGGGCACTGGTGGCCCAGTCGTCTAAGGCCCCGCGATTCGCTGTGCAGAGTTGCGTCCCTTGGGCATGCCAGAAACCTATGATTGTGGGTTCAGTCCCGGTTCGCCCCGATTTGCCCCGATTAGGTTTCTAGGTTTGTCAGCACCATACCCGTGCTCATGGGTTTCACCAAAGTGGTAAACGTCTCAGTCCTGCATCACTTCGGGCTGTCCTCCCACATTAAGCTGACACGCCGCGATATAACTGGAATACTGTTAAAAGCGGCGTTATACCAAACTCACTCACTCTCTCACTAATGTTTGTATGCTTGTTGTTTAACGCTGCACTCAGCAATATTCCAGCTATTTGACGACGGCCTGTAAATAATTGAGTCTAGACCAGACAATCTAGTGATTGATATAATGAGCATCGAAGCCACAAATTGGGATACGATGACGCATCAACAAAGCCAGCGGACCTGACCACCCAATCCCGTTATTCGCCTCTTATGACAAGCATAGTCGCCTTTTACGGCAAGCATGGGTTGCCGAAGACCTATTGAACCCCGGATCTTCACTGGTCCACAACTTAATGAAACATGTCACACAAACAGTGCAGATTAAGTAACATGACTTTGATAAATGTTTAGTGTTTTTCTCCAGTTGCACAACAGGTTTGCCAACATCCTGGTATTGTCTGTATCATGCCACAAACATAAATTTATTGAACGCCACTAAAAACTACAGACCAACCTGTCTGCCCTATTTTTGGATGAACTGAATTAGGAAATGCACATAATATTTCAGTTTCATATCGAGTGGTTTCCTGCACTTGAAAACCCTGATGTTTGTTTTGGGAATTGTTTAAAGTGTGAAGGTTGATCGTCAGTTTGAACAACGTTGTAAAACCAATTGATGATCGATTATGATCAAACATGCATGATAATAGAAATATCATTCATTGAGAGCAATGAATCTTAACATCTGACATATTAAAAACAATAACTAGAAAAGAAAAACTCTTAAATGGTCATTTGCTTGACTTTGCAACACAAACACGTCTAGTAGGAAACAGTTACATTCCGCCATCCTTTTGCTTGAATGTTGCTGAGTGTGGTGTTAAACAACAAAGAAAGAAAGAAAGAAACAAACAAACAAACAAACAAACTAGAAAACAGCAGCAACAAGCCATGAAACGTTTGGTTTTTGTGATTTTTAAAATGTCAGACTCAATTTGATTCACTACAGGAAAGTGACCCGTGAAGATCCGGGGTAGAATAGGTCTTCAGCAATCCATGCTTATTGTAAGAGGCAACTAACAGGATCGGGTGGCATGCTCACTGACTTAGTTGATGCATGTCATCGTATCCCAATTGCATGGATTGATGCTCATGATGTCAATCACTGAATTGTCTGGTCCCAACTCGATTATTTACAGACCGCCGTCATTTAGCTGTAATTATTGTTGAGTGCAGCGTTAAACAACAAACAAACAAACATTATAGTAAACTAATATGGTTGGAAAATAATTGATTACAAATATCGTGTAGATCCCTCGGTTGGAAACCATTAAACCATTGATGAAATCAATTAATTGGAGCAAACACTCTCTGACATTTAACCAATTGACCATGTTGTTTCAGTTGATAATATTGTTGTATTTTAGGCCTGATTCCAGCAAGTTCAGACATTGTACATCCTTTTGTCCTGGGCTGTGAGACGAAGAGCCCCAAGCTGGTGCACCAGGGTCTGGTTGCTGTGCAGCGACTTATATCTCATGAAGCCATATCTACAGTAAGTGGAGCATTGGCATCAATAATTCAGTTTAAGTATGCAGCCTTAGGATGTTGATTTTAAGACTAGTCCAGAGGAACACTTCTTCCCAAGGCAAGCATGTCCACTACCCTATATCAAAGCCTAGTTTCTACCCTTGCCAAATCAAGGCCACTTTTCTTGGCTCGACCCTGGTGCCATCTCGCGTAAATCGTTGTGCCCCTTGTAATGAAAATGCGATATCCAATCAGATTGTTGTTCTTTTTATCGTATATCTTCACATATATGGTGATAATGAAAACATTCACGATTTCATCCCTGACACAAAAACAAAGGCAAACGTTGGCAGGTTTAAAAGATGAAGAAGATGTATTCGTGTCAACAAAGACAGGCAGTGGTAAATCACTTTCATACGAAGGTTCACCAGTCCTGGATGTTGATTTTGTGAAACGTTCTCTGATTGGACTATCAATATGTGCGAAAGTCCATTCATATTTTGCACAGGAAAGTGGGCTTGATGTGGCAAGGATGGAAACAAGACTTTGATAAAAAGGCTAGTGGACGTTCTTGCCTCGGGAAGATGAGAGGAACAGTGTAAATCTTATCTCACAGGTCTTCAGAGTTTGTAGCTAATTTTATTCTGTTTCAATGTGTAGCAAATTTGAACCATTTAGAACTGGTTCAGAATTATAGCCCTCAAATGCTACTAGTCAATGAGGACGAGCATCATTGGAATTTTACTTGTCCTCACTGTGTTTTTAATTTGGAGGTTTTGAACGTACATTTGATACCTGCAAATTGCATTCAGAATCGAACACAATGGCGCAGGTTTTCAAATTTGAAAGATTTACAGGTTTTGAATTAGTCTTTGAATGGCATTCAGAAGTGATACACATAGGAGAGAGAATTTATGGATTCAACTTCTTTATTATGAGAAACATGTTTCAGAGTATATGCGACCCGTGAAGATCTGGGGTAGAATAGGTCTTCAGCAACCCATGCTTGCCGTAAAAGGGCAACTATGCTTGTTGTAAGAGGACTGGCGGGATCGGGTGGTCAGGCTCGCTGACTTGGTTGATGCATGACATCATATCTCAATTGCGTGGATCTATGCTCATGATGTCAATCACTGGATTGTCTGGTCCAGACTTGATTATTTACAGACCGCCATCATATAGCTGGAATATTGCTGAGTGTGGCGTTAAACAACAAACAAACAAACTAACAGATTATATGCTTACTCCTTCATCACCTGATGAAACGTTGTGTTCCTCGTAATAAAGAAGTTGAATCCATAAATTCTGTCTCTTATCAAATTAAAGTTCGAACCTCTACCTGAAAACATACTGTCCACTTCATTTTAACATGAAAAATGACAAAACAAACACGATTTATCTGGTTTTAGTGGAAATGATAATTGATGTGGTATTGGTTGAACCAAATATTTATTGAAGATTGAAAAGGGGAACACAGGGATCAGTGAGGATTGGTTTTAATCTGCATAAATGTTTGCCTTCATATGCCCAAACCATAATTTTCACCCTGATACTTGACCCTCAATAATGGGGTAGATATGATGTAGTGCATGATGGGGAAGCATCAAAAGTAAAGCCGTGTTGATGTTGCTGAATTATATTCAGTGCCGTAGCCAGCCCCCCCCGGATTTTTTATAGAAAACATTTTTCATTGTGAAAGTTAACTTGAATAAGAAATGAATAATCTTATTTCCCCCCCCCCCCGTCAAAAAAGTTAACTACGGCCTTGATGTTAATTACTTGTATTTGGTCATATTGCCACACTTGCATTAAATATTGTACGAACCACAACACGCTATTTAGTAAAGGTGTGAGGTATTACCGGCATATTGAAGTACATTCTTTCCGCGATATGTATCACAATATCATTTTTTCATGTTCGATATAGCGAGTGATTTCAAATTAGGATTTTTATCATGTGTTTGATGCTATATACTTGCCAAATGCCTTCCTGCAACAAACAAACCAACCAACCAATCAGAATGCAGAATTTTCTAAGGGTACTTGTTATTAAGAATGTCCGTTGTTTAACCATGCAGGCTGCAGCAGACAGAATCATCACCATGCTGTGGATGTTGATGGAGGGAGGGCTGGAGGAACTGAAGCTGCTGCAGACCGCCATCTTGTTGATCACTACCAACTCTGTGGTTCAGCATGATGCACTGGCTAAGGTAGGTCGTCCGGAGATTGCATACTCAGTCTCTGTCAGTAATTGGACTGCCTCCAGTGGATAGAACATCTCCCTGGAAAGTGGTAGTTTGATGTTTCGATCACCGGCTGCCTCCTACCGAAAGACGTTAATTGATGGTACTTGTTGTTACCCTGCCTGACATTGGGTGTTAAGAGGATAAAACAAGGTCGGCTTGGAGTCAGTATACTGTGTCTGAGTGGGGTATCCATGTTAAACCGTGGCATGGTATCTCAGTGGGCTAGCACTATGAAACCAGCTTTAGTCTGGACTAGTACAAACAGACACAAACACACAAGTGCATGTACGGGGGGCACGGGTGGTTCAGTCTTCTAAGGCGCCGCGATTCGCTGTGCAGAGTTGCGTCCCTTGGGCACATCGGAAACCTATGATTGTGGGTTCGAATGCCGGTTCGCCCCAATTATGTTTCTAGGTTTGTCAGCACGATACCCGTGCTCGTGGGTTTCACCGAAGTGGTAAACGTCTGAGACCTGCATCACTTCGGGCTTTCCTCCCACATTAAGCTGACACGCTGCGATATAACTAGAATACTGTTAAAAGCGGCGTTAAACCCAACTCACTCACTCAAGTGCATGTACATTGCTATTTTAGTGCAATAATCTTTTTTATCTTGAAAGGACATAAAACTTCATTTCATTTCACCTCACCTCACAGGCCACAAAGTTAAAAAAAATTCAAAGGAGCCACTTGGCTCCTAAATTATTTTTTCAAGGAGCCAAATAGAATTTCAAGGAGCCAAGACAAAATGTAAGGAGCCAAAAGTAATGACTTGTAATTTAACTGCATAACAAACAAAAAAAATCCATTAGTTTGAATAATCAGTTTTAAATCATGAACAACAACTGTTGACGTGTTGTTGAAGCTTTTGAGTTTTTCAGACAAACAAGCTTTAGAACATTGTGTCAGTAACATCATCTGACAGTTTACCGGTGCCAGTTGCAGGTTTTGGTTCATCGAACGTGTCGATAGACGACGAAACTTCCGTGTCAGCTTCGCCATTCAAAGCATTCCGTATTATCTTGAGTATACTGCGCATTTATTTAAAAAAAAACACAGCTGTGTAGAAGGGGGTGCGCATTATACACGAAATAATGAGTTTTGATGTTTTTCCCCCATGGAAAGACATTACCGTGAGAACGTAACACCGGAAATACCATGTCAACAAATCCATACTGAAGTACGCAAACAAATCATGTAATTACACTGTCTGACTATAAAAAGTGTTCTTTGTATATCTGGACTTATGTTAGTAACTTATTTCATTAATTTTATTCAAAATTACTTTTAATATTGTTTTAATTTATTTCGGCGAAATCGTGTGTGAAGCGATCGGAAGATCTAACAAACGGTTATTAAGAGAAACCACGGTCAGATTACCGCTATTGATGCCTTGAAACGAACTTTCGTTGACAGAGAATGGATACATTTGTCATAAATGCCATACTTTGACTCGTTAAAGGTCATATTTGTTTTTGTTGGACGATTCTATGTCAACACGTAATTCACGCGATCACATGCACGGGAGCCTTGACGGTGACTGGTCAGACTGTGTGTTCCATGTAAAACCATGTAATACCCGGTAATATATAGCAATCAGCTGCTTCGCTTACGCTTAGGGTTATTATTATTTCAAATATGTTTGGTAAAAGCTGCATCTAAATTAACAAGATATTGGAATATATTATTCCTGATAAAAAGAAGAAGTTTCAGATACATTTTTTGCCGATCCTTGCATTAAAACCCTGTAAAGTTATATCATTGGGTGTGACTTGACTGAATCACCGGTAAATTCCAAGAAATTGTGTGTACAGCTGATTGCTGTGTCCGGCTTAGTTTACGAGAAGATACACATGGTAATCTTAATCCCTGGATATAAAACAATGCCTAGCAGAACAAAAAAATACAATTTAAACGGTAAATCAACATGTCTGGTGATTTTTTTATCTATGTGTTTATCCCTTTCAACACCGTAGGCCGGTTTTCCGGCCAAGCCGTAGTCACGTCAAAATAGTTTATATTTGTATGGACCTACCTATAATATCATTCATTTATTAAATCTATCACATTTCACAATGTCTGAAATACGTATTTCATATCAATTTATCATTTTTTTATCAATAAATAAAAAAATTATTCACTATTTCCCGCGATGTTATTGAAAATATAATTCTCGGACACACATTTCAACAACGGGTCCACATCGAACATGTCAAAGAGCAAAATAAAGACGTTTTAAGCAAATCTTTGATATATTATACAAAGTAATAAATAAATTCAACAAAAATATATCTAAAAGTAATCAAACTTACATCTAAGTTATTATTTCCATCTTTTCGTGCGATCGCATGTAATGTAAGTCAAATGACATCTCAGCTTTCGTCGCCTTAAATTCTCGGCTCGGACACGATGTTTAATGCAAAAATATATGCATGAAAAATCTGTCACAGCTCGTAACCTAGCACGATAGATTCACGAAGTTCCATATTTTAAATATATATATATATCGTGATTTCCTGCCTTTTAGTTCAGAATAACATGATTTAACAAAAATCTTTCGCCAACTTCTGAAATTTATCAAACACGAGCTTGGTATCACCGCTGAAATTTGATTGGCTGCCTGCCTTACAAGTAGTTAGAAATGTAGACAGTGATAGTAATTTCCAATATTACTTGCCTCCGGACAAGTTAAAGTAAGTGATTTTGTTGCCCAACCTCGTATTTCTACTTTCCCCGAGAGTCGGGAATTGGCAAATTTCCACCCCTGTTCCCCCCCCCCCCCCCCCCCCCAAAAAAAAATAAATAAATAAATACTGAATCTGCTAGAGAGGGGTGCGCACTATACTAAAGAAAATACGGTATTCATCATTTGCCGATTGACAACGATTTGTTGTTGTTTTGACTTGCGCAAATATAGAAAAATACTTCGTGTTTTTGAACGGCGAAACGACCGCCTTAGCTGTCACCTGGGCGGATGTCGTACAGCGCATGCGTGGGTACTAAACTCTTAACATCGTTAGTGCATTACTTAATAACGGAAAGTGCTTCCTTCATTCCAGGTATGGAGCTTCATATCGAAAGCGAAAACAGAACACATGGCCAACAGTGATCTTGTCGATGTTATTATGTTCTGATATCGAATTTTTTCACCGAAGTTACGCACTTATATTAAAAACGATCTTTTTTAATATCTTATGACAAGAGACATTTAGTCGCCAAACTTAATTAAAGACAAGGAGCCAGTTGGCGACTGACATGAAAATACCAGTCGCAAAATACAAAACTAGATCGCCATGGCGACCAATTTAGTCGCAACTTTGTGGCCTGCCTCACCTCACCTCACCTCACCTCACCTCACCTCACCTCACCTCACCTCACCTCACCTCACCTCACCTCACCTCACCTCACCTCACCTCACCTCACTATGCTCAAATTAGTTTGTAAAACCAACAATTACGTTTATGATATTTATGAATATTATCATTATCATTATCAAGACTCAACTCAAAAATTGGTCCTGTCAATTATTTGTTTACAGAGTTATGGCCCTTGCTCCGTGTTTTTTAACTGTGCGTACTGTGTAATGGGGACAAGTTTTCTCAGAAACAACTAAAGATACTTGAATGAAAGTTAGCATGCCTATCTAGGAGATACTTGTCAAAACTCGATCAGCTCAAAAATTGGTCCCATCAATTAGTTACGGCCCTAGATCCATGTTACTTCACTGTGTGCATAGTGGGTGCAATGGGGACAGGTTTTCTAAAAAAGCTATTGAAATTAGCTCATCTAACAAATACTTATAAAGACTAATTATTTTTTTTCAGCGAAGGGGCCTTTTGTGTGTATGAATTTCACATTTAATCATTTTTTCTGATGACATAAAGCGGCCCGAGTACCAATCTCTTCTTAAGGCTGTAAAGGCTTTTTTTTATAGTTTATATTCACTACTTTATGACCAAACAAAATTCTAATGTGCCCCATGGCGGGAATAGTGATAACTCTGTTTTCTTGTCTTAAAGTTCACTGCTCGGAATAGGTTAATCGTTTTAATGTGTACAACTGATAATTGTTTCATTACAATCAACATCACATCCTCATGGTTCTGTATTCACACACGATGCTCATGAGGCCAGTCACTGGATTTTCTGGTCAAGACTCGATAATTTACAGACCGCAGTCATATAGAGTCAAGTCCCGTTAATCCGACATTGTTGGTTGCATATGATGATGTCGTATTAACGAGTATGTCAGATAAATGAAATTAGGTATTATCAACGTTCGTGATCAAAAATTGGACAACTACACGATAGATAACGATTCAAACATGTTGTAATAAAAAAAGGAAATATTCTTATTGTTGTGTTACATTGTTCGCGGAATATGTTTTCTAATCATGCAACCTCTAAAGTTTAACACAAAACACCAAATTTACTTACTTACTTACTTTGGAGATTTAACGTGCGCTTTCCGACTGATTCGTATTTCGCACACCAAATTTATCTCTGCAGCCGTTTAAATATGCAGCAAATCGCCGACTTGTCTCGCATCAAAACACAGGGCTATGTACTCACGGGCAGATGACCATGGAGTACGCTGATCACCGTGTCAGATTAACGAGACTGATTAATGAGTGATTTCAGCAAATCGTTGCAAATTAGGTGTGTCGGAGTGCAAGACTGTCGGATTAACAGGTCTAAACAGCACTGATTTAATGGGTTCCCATCATTTGTGTCGGATAAAGCCGATTGTCGGAATAAAGAGTGTCGGATAAACGAGGCTTGACTGTAGCTGGAATATTGTTAAACAACACCAACAGTGTTAAACATCAAACAAACAAACAAACAAATCATGGCATGATCTGACCATGTTTCCTGTTTCCTTGCTAGGCCCTTGTCTTGTGTTTCCGGCTGCATTTCACCAAGGACAGCACCACCATCAACACAGCAGCTGCCACCATCAAGCAGCTGGTCAGCATCGTCTTCGACAGAGTTGTTGCTGAGGATAGGATACAAACAAATGGTATGCAAGAAAGTTCAGGATGATTTGTCATAACAAATATCCTGATATAATTTTGTTCAAACATTTCTAGGACAGCTTGCTATGTTATGATGAACATGCTTATAACGAACTAACAGATATAACAAACGTTTTTTATGGTCCTGGCCATTTGCTATGTATATGCAGTATATATGCTTATAACGAAGTACGGTTATAACAAACTAAAATTAGTGATCCCTTTGACTTCATTGTAACTGTAGTTTACTGGTTATCTTCTTAATAGAATTACGCTTTATAGATAATAGGAATATTGGATGCAAGACTCAGATAGGTCATGAAAAATTAAGCTAAATTTCAATTTGACTGCCATTGGCCATCTTGACACTGGAAAAGATAACTAATTTTGACAATAATTGCCCTTGTGCTATAAATTTACAAAAGATACACACATATTCAAATGCTGTAATTAAGTTTTCATTTTCAGAATCAATTTTGATATCAAATAAGATTTTGAACATTAGAATCATGTAATAGTTTTAATATAAGTGCATAGAAGCCATTTTGCAAAGAGTTTAAATGTTAAGAGCGCGCACAGAAATTTTATCGTTATTGAAAGCAGGCCGTATACATTTATGACCAATCTGTTGCAGAGCCACTAGAACCAATAAATACTGACGAGCTGAAGGCAGGCAGCAGAACACCTCCCAGATCACTCAAACCTTGTGCTGGGGACGCATATCTCTTATTCCAGGTTTGATATAAATGAGTCACTAAATTATGGGGGTTCCATGTGGTCCAGCTAACATGAGGTTGTTGTTAGCAACCAGTCTGTGTTTAACTCATTCATTCGTGACCAACTCGTGTTATTCCGGGACAAGCCGAATAGTGACTCGTGCCCCTCTCGTGGCCATTTTTGTGACGGGGTTCCGTCTTAGTGCAAACGGGCATACCTAAAACAATTGTCAACTCGTTGCGTAATGGTTCACATATATATTTACCCATATTTTATATATATTTCAGGTGCAATATAAAGCACATCGGGACATGTGGAATTATACAGTATGATTGAACACATTTAACTGTGTCTTGGGTATATGTTTAGATGCAAGACATATGTAAAATCAAAAATTATTTCTGAGGGATTCTTTGACGAAGAACTTGAAATCATACGCGCATTCTGATTGGTTTGTCGCATTTTTGCATATAACATTCATCGATAGGGGGACAAGTCTTCTTGCAGGTTACATAAAGGGGCGAGTGGTGACGAATGTAACTCATAATGTGGTGGCACCTGGTCCTGTGTACAGTGTACAGGTCACAAATCAGGGGAAGTTACCAGGGATGAGAATCTTCCACGGATCCGTTGATCTGCTAATTTCCTCCAATTTTAGTGACAACAAATTTGTTAAAATCAACTGGCTTTCCCCATAAACACCCCCAAATTATGGACCACCCTCCATTGCAAAAATCTTTCAGCTAAAAAGGAAAACATCAAATCTCATCCCTGAGTTACATAACCTTGGCTGCGGAGAGTAGTTGGATGGTGCCATGTTTGGCAGCTTGACACCTGAGTTTCTAGGACTTCGGTCCTGCCCCACACTAAAGCAGATGTAGCACAAATGATGTCTCCTTAGGCATTTGACTTTGTTCAAAATATACCTGTATTCACCTAGCTGTTAATGGGTACCCGGTAGGATTAGATTGTATTGTGACTGTAAACCCTCTAGCGCCTCACAGGTAGCTCGGTTTGTCTACTCCCAAGGGAGCTGAGATTGAAACTTGAGAGCACACTGATCCATGGACTTGGGTAATAATGATGTGGCACTTTGAACATGCCCCTGTGTGGTAAGGAAATATAGTGCATTGCCTTGCTTTTATTATGCAATCAGGTATTATTCGTTTTCGTGATTAGCAGTAATACCAGCCCAAGTATATCAGGTAGTGTTCTTGTGAAACTTAGTTAAATTGACTAAATATTACTTATTGAGAATCAAAGCATGAATTTATACATGGGGAGGTGTATACATATCAACATGTCATCCGAACATGCTGAATAGATAAACCACTTAATAATATTTTGTCAAAACGAATACAACACAGAAAACAGTCGTTATAGTTATGAACACACAATGCCGTTTAGTCTGTCTTACAGACCCTGATACAAATATATATCAAATACAGCCCATGCAAGTCTATATTGTTTGGCAAGTCTAGATTACTGCAGTATCAGAAAATGAAGAGAGTCACTGGGCTCCCTTTTATTATATTTTTATTAAGATAACTGAACAACTGTTTTTTCTGTACGATATGTTCATTTCAGAGACTAGATGTTAGTCTAAATGCCGTTTAGAAAGTGGTCAAATGTAACAAATGTTATAATTTGGGATAACATTTTCTTTGTAAAATACAGGTCCTTGAATTTGTTTTTGATCCGATCCGGGATTCGAACCCACACTGCCAGAGTGAGGCACCTAATCGCCAGCACACAAAGTCAGCGATCTAACCCACTCAGCCACCGAGGCTTCAACAAAATCTGTGGCAGTGTGGGTTCGAATCCCGGATGGGACCTAACCCAAAAAAGTACTAGAATCTGTACTTTACAAAGAAAGTGTTATTCCAAATATAACATTTGTTACAGTCCTTATAGGTTACACACAACCAAATGTTTTCCCATAGACTTCTATAGTAACGTTATATTTTGTTTTTAAAATAACTAAGCATTCAACAGCTATTACCTGTACGTGTGTGCACAGTTTGGCCTTAGAGCAGCAATAAAAAAATAAAAAATGACTAGCTTAGTCAGCTCCTTTTCCGAGTACCGGAAGCTAAACACAACACCCCCAGTTTCGCACCTACTTGAAAATAGCTGTGGTCACATTCAGCATAAGTCATCATGTTGAAAAAGACAGTACTAAATAAAGAAAAACATGGTCAGTTTTACTAACTGGATGGATGTAAATTTGAAAGACATAAAAATCTTACAGAATATCCTCCAATCACAGCCTGCAGATACCTCTCGATCTGTACGGAAGGCTCCCTACGAAAACCGCACTCTCCAAACTGGTACTGATTTGGTGTGGTAGAACCTGTAGTGCAACACATCAGTTTAACATCAAATACACACATGTTTTCTTCTACTCAAGTCTCAGCCTCTAAAGCACAGGCGCCTAACGAGTCTCCCTGCAGTAATGAAGCCCGTGAATCAGTCCGGCGCTTACGGAGTAGTGACATCGGTACACAGGGTGTTCAGAGTCCTTTTATGTGTGCTTCAGCGACTGTGCGCTAGTACATCAGAAAGCAGGGGTCTGTATTCGGATTTGTCTGACTCTTAGGCTTAAAAAAATAAAAGAAATATTTCTCAGGCAATAGAAGGAAAATATAGTGCGGGCGGGCAGTGTTTTTGGGGGGTTGGGGGGGTTGTTCAAACTAGTTTGTAACCAAATAAACAGTTATGTCACCAAATAATCAGTTGTATACAATCAACCAAGGAAAGGGGCCCCCCTACGTAATTGTATTCCATGATGAGTCAAATACTGGAATACTGTATTTGACTAGCGTTGGACTTGGAATATTTAAGGATTTTTTGTGTTTTTAAAAAAAAATGGAAATGAAAACGAAAAGTGTGGTGAACTTTATGATGATGCGGGCGGTGCCCGAGAAACAAGACTATTATGTTTTTTTGCCTTATATGTGACTAAAAGGTATAAATGTACGGATTTCTAACTTATTCTTATATGTTTCCTCAGGACCTTTGTCAGCTGGTGAATGCTGACCAGCCCTATTGGCTGATGGGCATGACGGAGATGACGCGCACGTTTGGCCTGGAGCTCTTAGAGTCTGTTCTCACCAGCTACACATCAGTATTCTCAAAGGTACTGTGTTTACACAGCAAGAGAGTTGGCAAATTTTTTAATGAAAAAGTCTTGACTTTGAAGATATGACATGGTCCCTCTTAACTTTTGCTTGTACGATGCATCTTACTAGATTAGGATTGGTTGGTTGGTTGGTCGGTCGGTCTGTGAATAGTTGAGTCTGGACCAGACAATCCAGTGATTGATATCATGAGCATCGATCCACGCAATTGGGATCAATGACATGAATCAACCAAGTCAGCGAGCCTGACCACCCGATCCCATTAGTCGCCTTTTACGACAAGCATAGTCGCCTTTTAAGGCAAGCATGGGTTGCTGAAGACCTATTCTACCCCGGAATCTTCATGGGTCTGCTGGATCAGGAGGTCAGGCCGGTTGACTCGGTTAATTCTGTGTCATCATACCTTTATGGTGTGGGATGTTGCTAATAACATCATCTTACCCGTGAAGATCCGGGGTAGAAGAGGTCTTCAGCAACCCACAATTGCCATAAAAGGTGACTTTGCTTGCCGTAAGAGGCGACTAATGGGATCGGGTGGTCAGGCTCGGGAACTTGGTTGATGCATGTCATCTTATCCAAATTGCATAGGTCGATGTCATGATCTCAATCACTGGATTGTCCAGTCCAGACTCGATGATTTACTTGAATATTACTGTAAAATAAAAATAAAACAAACAATCACATCTATCTGGGGCACAGGTGGCCCAGTTGTCTAAGGCAACACAGTTCACTCTGCGTAAATGGGCATGCCAGAAACCTAGGATCATGAGGAGGAATCCCAGGTCACCCCGGTTATGCTTCTTGGTCACAGCAGTGTTAAAATCCATGCACTCTCTCATCTGTTTACATGCTGCCATATACTGAATAGTGCTGAGGGTGACATTAAAAAACAAACAAAGATTGAGAATATATTTGTTATTTTCGAAATTCAGGAAAAAAAGTCTAAAGTTCAGCAGGAAGTATGTTTTATGTTATATAAGAGTCATCAAATATTAACTTATAACATGTTACAGTTGACCCGTGAAGATCCAGGGTAGAATAGGTCTTCAGCAACCCATGCTTGAAAGAGGCGAGTAACGGGATCGGGGGCCAGGCTCCCAATTGTGTCAATTGATGCTCATGATGTCAATTTCGGATTGTCGGGTCAAGATTCCATTATTTACAGACTGCCTTCATATAGCTGGAATATTGCTGAGTGTGGCGTTAAACAACAAACAAACAAGCCAAAAACATGTTACAGTTGACCTGTGTTCAGTTACAGTCTTCATGTGTTGACTGATTCTACTCTTTGTTTGCCAGCACCCGGAGTTCAGCTTCATGTTGAAGGAGAAGGTGTGCCCTCTAGTGATCAAACTGTTCTCCCCGAGTCTCAAATATCGCCAGGGCCTCCCGCCAGCCCCCTCACCTGCACCTGTAGAAAAACCATTCTTCCCCATTGTCATGAGGCTTCTCAGGATTGTGTCAATACTCATCAGGGGATACTATCAGTTACTGGTGAGTTGTACTACTACCTCCGTCATACGGATACTATCAGTTACTGGTGAGTTGTACTACTACCTCCGTCATACGGCTACTATCAGTTACTGGTGAGTTGTACAACTACCTCCGTCATATGGCTACTACCTGTTATGGTGAGTTGTTGAAGTAGCTGTGTCATGAGGCTACTATCGGTTACTAGCTGTGTCATGAGGCTACTATCCGTTAATGGTGAGTTGTACTGCTAGCTGAGTCATGAGGCTACTATCGGTTACTGGCTGTGTCATGAGGCTACTATCCATTTATGGTGATTTGTACTACTAGCTGAGTCATGAGGCTACTATCGGTTACTAGCTGTGTCATGAGGCTACTATCCGTTAATGGTGAGTTGTACTACTAGCTGAGTCATGAGGCTACTATCGGTTACTAGCTGTGTCATGAGGCTACTATCCGTTAATGGTGAGTTGTACTACTAGCTGAGTCATGAGGCTACTACCGGTTACTAGCTGTGTCATGAGGCTACTATCGGTTACTAGCTGAGTCCTGAGGCTACTATCGGTTACTAGCTGTGTCATCGGTTACTAGCTGTGTCATGAGGCTACTATCGGTTACTAGCTGAGTCATGAGGCTACTATCGGTTACTAGCTGTGTCATGAGGCTACTATCGGTTACTAGCTGTGTCATGAGGCTACTATCGGTTACTAGCTGAGTCATGAGGCTACTATCGGTTACTAGCTGTGTCATGAGGCTACTATCCGTTAATGGTTAGTTGTACTACTAGCTGAGTCATCAAGCTTCCTACTTTTTGTTACTGGTGAGTTATACTTTGTCATAATTGTCCATTTGATGTCATTGTTATACTATCAGGTTCAATGTTTGTCTTCTTGTCAAGGTGACGGAGTGTGAGATTTTCCTGTCGCTTCTCGTGAAGTTCCTGGAACCAGAGAAACCAATATGGCAGCGCAGCCTTGCTCTGGAGGTGCTACACAAGCTCTGTACACAACATGTTCTCATCAAGTAAGTCACCAAGCCCTAAGGGTAATAGGTACAAATGAGTGAGTATGGATTTACACCGCTTTTAGCAATATGCCAGCAATATCACGGCGGGGGACACCAGAAATGGGCTTCACACATTGTACCCATGCGGGGAATCGAATCCGAGGTCTTCGGCATGACGATCAAACGCTTTAACCACTAGGCTACCCCACCGCCCCTGTACTAGGTACATTCAGTCCCAGTTCATTAATATTGTTCAGCCACATATAGTCACACCGGGAATGTTGTCACTCAGATAATTTTCACGGTATAGGGGAGATAACTCATACAAGATGATCTCCCCATGAAGTTGTTGAGTTTGTGGTAGTTTTAACATAAATACACAAATACTGATGCCATTCAATCACTCCAAAAGTTGTATATTGAGGAATAAGTTTTTAATGTAACGATATACAGCTTTTCCATTGGATGAGAGGTCGGTCACCTTCATAGAGCGAGGCCAAACTGTAGGAGCGTCGGAGCTTGCACTGTTGTTGTAAGCTCCGACGTTCCGACAGTTTGGCCCTCACACCGAGAAGGTTTATACTCCAATGGACTCACACAAAGTGAAAGTCCATTCTTAATTATATTTTTAATTACAAAGAAAGGGAGGTATAAGTTTAGATGGAATTCATCAGTTTGAGTCTTGTTAATTTCTTTTGCAGATGTTTTTGTGAATCATATGACATGAAACCACATTCCACAAAGATTTTCCGAGACATCGTCAATGCTGTGGGGGCCTTCATTCAGTCCCAGTTCATGAGCAGTCCTGGTGGCCCTGCCGGCCAGAGCAGTAAGTCAATCTCTCACTAACACATCATTACCAGAAGGGGCTTTCATTCAGTCCCAGTTCATGAGCAGTCCTGGTGGCCCTGCTGGCCAGAGCAGTAAGTCAATCTCTCAATAACACATCAATACCGGAAGGGGCTTTCATTCAGTCCCAGTTCATGAGCAGTCCTGGTGGCCCTGCCGGCCAGAGCAGTAAGTCAATCTCTCACTAACACATCATTACCGGAAGGGGCTTTCATTCAGTCCCAGTTCATGAGCAGTCCTGGTGGCCCTGCCGGCCAGAGCAGTAAGTCAATCTCTCACTAACACATCATTACCGGAAGGGGCTTTCATTCAGTCCCAGTTCATGAGCAGTCCTGGTGGCCCTGCCGGCCAGAGCAGTAAGTCAATCTCTCACTAACACATCATTACCGGAAGGGGCCTTCATTCAGTCCCAGTTCATGAGCAGTCCTGGTGGCCCTGCCGGCCAGAGCAGTAAGTCAATCTCTCACTAACACATCATTACCGGAAGGGGCTTTCATTCAGTCCCAGTTCATGAGCAGTCCTGGTGGCCCTGCCGGCCAGAGCAGTAAGTCAATCTCTCACTAACACATCATTACCGGAAGGGGCTTTCATTCAGTCCCAGTTCATGAGCAGTCCTGGTGGCCCTGCAGCACAGAGCAGTAAGTCAATCTCTCACTAACACATCATTACCGGAAGGGGCTTTCATTCAGTCCCAGTTCATGAGCAGACCTGGTGGCCCTGCCGGCCAGAGCAGTAAGTCAATCTCTCACTAACACATCATTACCGGAAGGGGCTTTCATTCAGTCCCAGTTCATGAGCAGTCCTGGTGGCCCTGCAGCCCAGAGCAGTAAGTCAATCTCTCACTAACACATCATTACCGGAAGGGGCTTATCCTGAGACATTGACCCTGTCTCACTCCCATGTGAGACGGAGCTCCCAGCACAAGCCCCCAGTACCTCATAAGGACCGAAATATGTTATCAGCTGTGACCTGTCTTATTACTAGAATATTACTAGAATATGACTGGAATGTTACTAGAATATTGCTGGAATATTACTAGAATATTGCTGGAATATTACTGGAATATAAATGGAATATCAGGGTTCACTCCAGGAATTTTGGACCCTTTATCTGAAAATTTCAAATATTCTAGAGGTACACCCACACTTGCCTATACAGCACAATGTTAAAATGCCCCATTGACTTTGAAAATAAGGGCCTTTTTTCAAATTTAGGGGCTAAAAGCACAAGGCCCCACCCTAGAATTATCCCTGGAATATAAATGGAATTTTGCTGGAATATTACTGGAATATTACTGGAATACAGCTGACTGCAGTATAAAATGGCCTTCACTCACTCTCTGTTCAATCATTCACTCACTCAGATTTTTCTGTGTTCAGTTTGAAGTGTAAAGTGGCATCTCTGACGATCCAGTGTTTGAATCCCAGATTTGCCCTGATTATTGCACTTGTTTTGTCAGCATCGTACCCATGGGTTTTACCAAAATAGAAACGTCGAAGACCTGCATTGCTGTGGGCTTTCCCCCTACATCAAGCTTAAATGATGATACACTAGTATCTGAAATACTATTCAACATGGTTTTTAACCAACTACCTCACTATGTATAAATGGCATCTAGTCTAATTTGAAACAGTTTTAGCAATTACTTGTAAAGCTCTGTCTTTCAATATAAACTTTTGTTCCTCCAGGTAACAAAGTGCCTGACACCCAGGGGACCCCCCCTGCCCTCGTGGCGGGGCTGCCTGTAGGGGGAGGGGTCAGCCCCCAGCCGGCCTTCATGTACAGGGGAGTATGGATTCCTCTGGTGGTGTCTATCCCATCTGTGCAGTCAAAACCTGTGTAGTGAGTTACTTCTGGATTATTGTAGACATTGCAGAGTTGCGTCCCTTGGGTACGCCAGAAACCTATGATTGTGGGTTGGAATCCCGGTTCGCCCCGTTTATGTTTCTAGGTTTGTCAGCACCATACCCGTGCTCAAGGGTTTCACCGAAGTGGTAAACGTCTGAGACCTGCATCACTTCGGGCTTTCCTCCCACATTAAGCTGACACGCTGTGATATAACTGGAATACTGTTAAAAGCGTCGTTAAACCCAACTCACTCACTCACTCACTCACTATTGTAGACATTGTAGTTCCAGGTACCAATCAAACGTTATGTAAGAGGCGACTAATGGGATCAGGTGGTCAGGCTCGCTGACTTGGTTGATGCATGCCATTGTATCCCAATTGCGTGGATCGATGCTCATGATGTCAATCACTGGATTGTCTGGTCCAGGCTCGATTATTTCCAGACTGCTGTCATATAGCTGGAATATTGCCGAGAGCAGCGTTTAACAACAAACAAAACAAACAAAATCAAACATGTTAACGACATAGCACCCAATGGCATTTCCAGGGTTGAATTGGTTCCCAGCAACCTAGAGTCGTCGTCAATGAGGATTGTGAATGTGTAGTGATACTTATCTTATTTATTTTTAGAGTAAGGAGTGTAAATAGTTGAGTACTTCACCATTTGTTTATGTTAAAGTATTGGAGTTTGATAAACTTAGTGCCACACTTAGCATATGACTGTTATATAGTAGTGACATTCTTTCATTTTGGGACTTAGTTAACAGTAGTTGACATGGCATTCATTCTTCTGCAGCCTTGTTGATCTTCCCAACACACCTTATGTCTGCCTATAAGTTGTAACACTTTGTACACTGTAGCAATCTCAATAAAATCAGATCTTAGTTCTTGCTATCGCAAAACAAAGATCTGAGGAAATCCTATTATGGGTCACGTCAGAACAACCTTTCATCCAACCAATCAGAACCTCTCTTACCAAGATCACCGCCGTCATATAGCTGCATTATTGCTGAGTGCGGCAATAAACAACAAAGCATCCAACCAACCAAGATCATGAAAGTGACAGTCGGAATGTGTTTTCTAATGCAACCAAGAAATATGTTTCGATGACTAGTTTGAAACTAGTGTCGTAAAGCTCGAGAAAGCTGCCTTCTGACTGACTAATGTCGATTTCTTGTCAATCATTTCATTGGTCGTTCAAAGTTCAGGACAGGTCGTTCTGACGTGAACCATAATGGGATGTCCTAAGATCTTTGTTTAGCGGTACCAGGAACTAAGATCTGATTTTAATGAGATTGTACACTGTAGTTCCGTACGTTTGACCGAAACCATATTTTCCAATGTTCTGCAGCCTGGAGATGTTGGACAAGATAGATCCTCCAGTTATACCCGATGGGTATGGAGTGTCTCTGGCCTTCTACTGCCTGCTGTCCGTAGTGAAGAGCGTCAAGCTCCTCATTGAAGGGGAAGGCGACGAATCCACCAAGGACGTTGACAAACCTCACAATCCCAAACCTGCAGTCAAGGCGCCAGAAAAGAGTAATAGCCCTTGTACAGATTACCGTATTCGACGTAATAAGCGCCCACGGCGGTATTTGCTAATATATTTGCTAGTGAACAATCCCAGTCAGCACCCCTTCCGATTGATCAATGTTCACAAGACTTATTTGTTCTCGTATAATACGCACTCGTGTGTTATATGCAACCTTAATTATGGGCAATTAAATTCTAGAAAAATATATCTGTCGTACATAAACATTTCAGACTGTCAGCATAAACCACGAAATTTATCTTTCAACTCTGTTTTTTTCACCAAAATAATATTCTAATAAGAGCCCCCTATTTCTAATTTTGAGAGCGCCCTGAGCACCCCTTCCTATTGATCAATGTTCACAAGACTTATTTATTCGCGTACAATACGCACTCGTGTGTTATATGCAACCTTAATTATGGGCAATTAAATTCTAGAAAAATATATCTGTCGTACATAAACATTTCAGACTGTCAGCATAAACCACGAAATTTATCTTTCAACTCTGTTTTTTTCACCAAAATAATATTCTAATAAGAGCCCCCTATTTCTAATTTTGAGAGCGCCCTGAGCGCTTATTACGTCGAATACGGTATTATGATTGAAGATGGTCACTGGGTTGAACAAATGTTCAGGACCCGGACTGGCTATTGGCTTGTCATTAAACCCCCATGAAGTAATGTGCCATTAAATTAGGCTGTGTCAAACGTTTAATAACACCATTCGCACAGGCCATTAACTTAATGGAGGTTTGGGCGTACCATTAACCTGTTATTAAACATGATGGACTAAACATGCATGATACTATGCATTAATATGCTGATAAAATGCAATGTGTTTTGCATTATTGCCTTTAAATATATGACTTAAGTTCATCACAAAATTCGCTCGTCACGCAGAAGACCCGGGTTCGATTCCCGACATGGGTACAATGTGTGAAGCCCATTTCTGGTGTCCCCCGCCGTGATATTGCTGGAATATTGCTAAAAGCGGCGTAAAACCATACTCACTCACTTGGTTGCTGAAACAGAATTGTTGGAACTATGGGGGAATATCGTCATTTACTGACATGTACTCTGTCTGGTATATTACATTTAAATTATCTTCAGTAAATTATAGTTCAATGACAGCTTTGTACAACCCATTTTGATGATGGAGGGCCAAGAGGGTGTTACGTTGAATTGATGGATTATGTTACATAGCAGAGGGTGTTACATAGAATTGATGGTTTATGTTACAGCTGAGGTGTTACATTGAAAAACTATGGCTTATGTTACAGCAGAGAGGGTGTTACATAGAATTGATGGTTTATGTTACAGCTGAGGTGTTACATTGAAAAACTATGGCTTATGTTACAGCTGAGGTGTTACATTGAAAAACTATGGCTTGTGTTACAGTTTAGAGGGTGCAACATGGAATTGATGGTTTATGTTACAGCTGAGAAGGTGTTAGTTGAATTGATGGTTTATGTTACATATCAGAGGGTGTTACATTGTATTGATGGTTTATGTTACAGCTGAAGTGTTACATTGAAAATCAATGGCTTATGTTACAGCAGAGAGGGTGTTACATTGAATTGATGGTTTATGTTACAGCTGAGGTGTTACATTGAAAAACTATGGCTTGTGTTACAGTTTAGAGGGTGCAACATGGAATTGATGGTTTATGTTACAGCAGAGAGGGTGTTACATGGAATTGATGGTTTATGTTACAGCTGAGGTGTTACATTGAAAAACTATGGCTTGTGTTACAGTTTAGAGGGTGCAACATGGAATTATTGGTTTATGTTACAGCAGAGAGGGTGTTACATGGAATTGATGGTTTATGTTACAGCTGAGGTGTTACATTGAAAATCAATGGCTTATGTTACAGTAGAGAGGGTGTTACATTGAATTGATGGTTTATGTCACAACAGATAGTGTTTTACATTGAATAAATGGTTTATGTTACAGCAGAGAGTGTTACATAGAATTGATGGTTTATGTTACAGCAGAGAGTGTGTTACATTGAATTAATGGTTTATGTTACAGCAGAGAGTGTTACATAGAATTGATGGTTAATGTTACAGCAGAGAGTGTTATATAGAATTGATGGTTTATGTTACAGCGGAGACTGAGCGGGTGTTACATGAGGAACTGATCAACTCCTCGTGGTGTGGGATGCTGGCTGCACTGTCTCTCCTCCTTGATGCTAGGTATGCCAATCAGTAATGCTGACAGTTTATCAGGAATGATGTACTAAATATATGCTTTCCAATCATGAATATTTATTACAGTTGAGAAGGAAGCTTATTGTGAGTTTTTATGGATTTGTGGCTACAATGTGTGCAGAGGCGGGGGGTAGAGCATTGTGGTTAAAGTATTTGCTTGTGACTCAGAAGACCTGGTTTCATTCCCCACAGCGATACAATATGTGTCAAGCCCATTTCTGGTGTCCAGCCATGATATAACTAGTATAGATAATACTAAAAGCGGCTTGAAACCATGCTCACTCAATCACTCACAGGAATTATTGATATAAGATGTCATATTCTTATAATAAGCTTTGCTCTCATGTCCAAAAGGAAATGGGGGCACGAGGGACCCCGACGTCTAATGTGCCGCAATCGGTTGTGCAGAGTAGCGTCCCTTGGGCATGCCAGAACCCTACTGTGGGTTTGAACCCTGTTTCGCCTTGATTATGTTTCTAGGTTTGTCGGGGGCACGGGTGGCCCAGTAGTCTAAGGCGCCGCGATTCGATGTGCAGAGTTGCGTCCCTTTGGCACGCCAGACACCTATGATTGAGGGTTGGAATCCCGGTTCGCCCCAATTATGTTTCTAGGTTTGTCAGCACCATACCCGTGCTTGTGGGTTTCACCGAAGTGGTAAACGTCTGAGACCTGCATCACTTCGGGGTTTCCTCCCACATTAAGCTGACACGCCGCGATAAAACTGGAAAAGTGTTAAAAGCGGCGTTTAACCCAACTCAACTCTAGGTTTGTCAGCACCATACCCATGTTCGTGGGTTTCAGAAAGGTGGTAAACATCTGAGACCTTCATCACATCAGCTTTCCTCCCACATCAACTGACATGCCATGTTATAATCAGATTTGTTCTTCCTCCATTTCCAGTACTGATGAAAGCGCCACAGAGGCAGTCCTCAACTCACAGCAAGCGTACGCCAGTCTGTGTGGTCACCTCGGCATGAACACCCCGAGAGACGCGTTCATCACGGCGCTGTGTAAAGCTTCCCTGCCCCCCCACTACACGCTCACCATCCTACACTCACAGGCCCCGGGTGCTTCAAGTCCTAAAGGTGAGCACAGTCAATGTTAATACAGTGGTCCCTCGCTACAACGCTACCAATGGGATCCAAATAATTGGTGGGCGTTATAGACGATGAGCCGTTTAACCGAGGCGGAGTCGTAGGGGAGCGCGTTCGGCCAATCTCACGATCTTCGCCTTGTCTCGCTCATTGCAATGATACGAGTTGTTTACGGTTCATGGTGTAAAAATAAATATATATCCTTTTTATTTTTGCCGTTTGTTATTATTAACAAGCCCTTACTGTCACGTTCAATGTGAAAGTAGTCTACTTACATGAAAATAGGTCCCAAGCAATACATGCTGGGCATAAGATCTCTTATCTCTTAGTATCAATCACTGGATTGTCAGAGCCCCATACCATAAGACAACCTTAGTACCAAGGTGATCATAAGTCAAAAGATTTTAACCTTAGACCTTTATTAAGACTGATTTCCTCTTTCATGAAAAAAATTAACCAACGTTTAAAAAACGGAGGTTGGTCTAACCCTACCTTCACTCACTATATGTATTTATTCAATGTATTTAGTTTAATAAAGGTTTTTTATTATATCTTATGTATTTGTTTTCATGAAACTAGTATTTCTAATCCTATATAATCGTTTCATGAATAAACTATCTTAGAACACAATTCAATCAATGTAATCCTTCAGTTGAAGTTAATACAAAAAACAGTCACATGGTAAATGAATACTTCAAATGCAAAAATAACATTTTATATATTTCTTAAATAATACGTAGAGGATATTTGTAGTTTCTCGCCAATAACATTTTTGTTTGTTTGTTGTTTAATGCTTACCTCTGCAATATTCCAGTTGTAAGATGGTATGTAAATAATCAAGCCTGACCGGACAATCTAGTGATTGTCATCCAGGGATTGAATTGTCTGGTCCAGACTCGATTCTTTACAGCCCGTCATCATATAGCTGGAATACTGCTGAGAGTGGCATTAACAAACAAACAAATTCACAAGGTTTCAGCATTGTATTTAGTGACGTGCATGGAAGTAAGACATTATGTGAGTGAGTGAGTGAGTGGGTGGGTGGGTGGGTGAGCGATGGATGGGTGGGTGGGTGGGTGGGTCTGTGGCTGATTGGGTTTTTGGATGGATGGATAGATGAATGGATGGGTGGGTGGATGGATGGATGGATGGATGGATGATGGGTGGGTTGGTGGGTCTGTGGCTGATTGGGTTTTTGGATGGATGGATAGATGAATGGATGGGTGGATGGATGGTTTGATGGGTGGATGGGTGGATGGATGGATGGATGGACAGAATTAGGCATGAATATCAAGGGGTCCTTGGCATAACCCTGATAGAAAGTGTTGAATATTAAGAGATCCCTAATACAGCAGCAAACCAGAAAGACTCAGGTCCATCTATAATTGCCAACACTGCAACATAAAAAGTAAGTGATGGATGAAACAAGTAGGTTTTGAAGGCCTCAACTCAAACTTGTTTGGACTGCTAAATGGATTGGGCAATGTCTCCCCCATATATGAGCACAAAATATGACAGTATGTGTTATCTATTTCAGCACTAACATTTGGACGTACTCCAAGTCAGGAGGCTCAGGTTGGTGGGATGGAAGCCATTGAGAGGAGTCAAGTCGTGGCTGTCGGGTCTCCCCTACCCACAGCCTCGCTCCCAGTCGGGGCTCATCAGGGACCGGTCATGGTAAGTAGCGTGTGGGAATCCAGGTTAGAATAGGTCCCCGGCAACCTGGTCAGACAAGGTTAATAAATCAGGTAGTCAGACTCAGTGACTTGGTAGATAGCATGGTACCCCGATGAGATGGATCAATGCTCATAATATCAATCACTGATTTGTCTGATCCAGACTTGAATATTTCCAGGAAACGGTCATATGGCTGCTATGTTTCTAAGTGCAGCGGTAAACAGTAAACAGTGAACGGACATGGTACGCTTGCAATGATCTTTGCTCACGTTTTCAGTCACTGCCTGGTCCGTATTTGATTTGTTTACAAGCCTGAAACTTTAAACAACATCAGAGCTCCAGATAAGCTTTTGGTGTTGTGGTGTTTAACCCATGCATTTTAAAATCATTTGGTATCAGTAATTCTATCTGGGTATTCAAATTTCTGTTACCAACTAGTTTTTACACATGTGGGTATTTAAGTTAAATATTTAAAAACACTATTCATCTAGTCCTATGTGTCGTGTGGGTTCGAAAGCTTTATAGGACTAAAAAATACCACGATACTTCCACAAGAAAGTGTGATGGCAAATGATCATGATGTAACTGTCATCGTGGAGTTTGGCAAGGTTGACGGAATGCCCGTTTATAATTTCAAAATAAGTTGCTGATTTGCTAATTGAATACGCAGGGTTACTTCACAATATTTGATGATATGCACAAGTTTTATTTTTGTAGCGTATCTGTAATGTTCGTTGCGTATTTGAAACGCTTGTTGGATTTTATTTTACTGCCTATGTCTGCATTTCTGATGCGTATTTTACGCAGATACGCAGCTTATCTGGAGCTCTGAACATTCATTGACTTGTTGGAATGTACTGACCCGTGGTTTGTGTTCCAGCTGACGGCGAAGAACATCCAGTGTATGAGGGCTCTTCTGAGTGTGGCCCACTGTCATGGGGGGATCCTGGGCACCGCCTGGCACCTGGTGCTGACAACTCTACAGGTGAGGCACTAACACTCATCGTTAAGTCAGTGAGTGAGTGAGTGAGTGAGTGAGTGAGTGAGTATGGTTTTACGCCGCTTTTAGCAATATTCCAGCAATATCACGGCGGGGGACACAAGAAATGGGCTTCACACATTGTCCCCATGTCAGTAACCAAACCCGGGTCTTCGGCGTGAGGAGTGAACGCTTTAACCACTAGGCTACCTGACAGCCCCCCATCGTTAAGAAATACTAACGGGATCGGGTGGTCAGGCTCACTGACTTGGTAGATGCATGTCATCATATCCAAATTGCGTGGATTGATGCTCATGACGTCAATCATTGGATTGTCTGGTCCAGACTAGATTATTTAAAGACTGCCGTCACATAGCTGGAATATTCCTGAGTTTGCTACTAAGCAACAAACAAACGTTAAGAAATACAGTCAAATAATCAGGAGATAGCATTTCGGGTGTTATGGAGTATTTTGAGCCTGGAAATTTTATTTGGAATTGACGGCATTAGCTGGAGGTTTAAAATATTAACATTTCGATGGAGGTTTCAAATGTAAAAACTAATTAGGCACTGACAGTTTGACAGAGGTGTCAAGTATGACATTTCATTTGGAACTGATGGTGTTAGACAGATGTTTCAATATATAATTTCATCTGGAACTATCAGTGTCAAACTTTCTTTTGAACATATGCACTTCATTTCAATTAATTCAGCCATGTTTGTTCTGTTATTGTTTATGACCTATACTCCTATATGTCAGAGATATACTGTATTGTATTTCCTTTACATCAAGTAACTTCAAGTAATACCACCATACTGAGTTTGTTAGCAGTTGCAATATTGTCACCCAAAAATATTTCACCAAAAATGAGTCTTGCAATGTTAGATTTGCAGTGGTAAATGTGTCATGGGTTAGAATCAGTTCCCAGCTACCCATACTAGTCATTAGAGGTGCTGTTGATCAGGCTTAGAGGCTTGTTTGATTGTGTGTTATCTCACCCCGGGGGTAGGATGTTGTTCACAATAGCTTTCACTGGATTGTCTGGTCCAAACTCAAGTATTCACAGGCTGCAGTCATATAGCTGGAATACTGCTGGAAGTTAAACAACAAACAAACGAATAAAAAATCTCTCACCATAACCGACCTCTGTTGTGTCCCCAGCACCTGGTGTGGATCCTGGGTCTGAAGCCATCGTCTAACGGCAGCCTGAAGGCGGGGCAGCAGATCAGCGAGTCCTCCACTAGCGTCATAACAACTGCCGTCATGGCCGACCTGCCGGTTCTCTCTGCCATGTTGTCACGACTCTTCGAAAGTTCACAGTAAGTGGCAATTCACTTTGTTATTACAAGTGAAACATGCTTTTCCAGAAATCTATGTCCATGCGTGAGTGAGTGAGTGAGTGAGTGAGTGAGTGAGTTGGGTTTAACGCCGCTTTTAACAGTATTCCAGTTATATCACGGCATGTCAGCTTAATGTGGGCGGAAAGGCCGAAGTGATGCAGGCCTCGGACGTTTACCACTTTGGTGAAACCCAGGTGCACGGGTATGGTGCTGACAAACCTAGAAACATAATCGGGGTGAACCGGGATTCGAACCCACAATCAAAGGTTTCTGGCGTGCCCAATGGACGCAACGGGACATTTTGTTCCTATTCCCCTGAAAACCCTATAAGCTTTATCATATTTTCAAGAACCAATGGATTTTTGATTATTATGTATTTATCACAATATTAATAAGGAAGAGAATTTATGGATGTCAACTTCTTTATTATGAGGAAACATGTTTCGGAGTATATGCTTACTCCTTCATCAGGTGAATGAATGCTATGAGGCAGAGAGCCTGTATATGTACATGTAAGGACAACAAAAGTAATAAGATAACAAAAGGTGGAAACTAACAAGGGAAGCCAACAGTTGTCCATAACCATCATCGCTAATTACTGTAAAGTGTTGGCTTCCATTGTCTTTTGCTAATCACCTGTCGCCGGCAATTATCTGTTAGTTGTCAGTTTCCACCTTTTGTTATCTTATTACTTTCACCTGATGAAGGAGTAAGCATATAGTCCGAAACGTTGTTTCCTCATAATAAAGAAGTTGACATCCATAAATTCTCTTCCTTTTGTGTATCAACCCGCGAAGATTCCGGGGTAGAATAAGTCTTCAGCAACCCATACTTGCCGTAAAAGGCGACTATGCTTGTCATAAAAGGCGACTAACGGGATCAGGTGGTCAGGCTCGCTGACTTGGTTGATGCATGTCATCGATCCTAATTGCGTGGATCGATGCTCATGATATTAATCACTGGATTGTCTGGTCCAGACTCAATTATTTACAGACTGCCGTCATATAGCTGGAATATTGCTGAGTGCGGCGTTAAACAACAAATCAACCACTATCACTTCTAAATGCCATTCAAAGACTTCACAATATTAATATTTTAAATGTTATTTTTCTCTCTGAAAATTATTATCTCTGATGTGTCATTATTGTCATTATTCTCCTGCAGATACCTGGACGACGTGGCCCTCCACCATCTGATTGATGCTCTGTGCAAGTTATCTACCGAGTCCATGGACCTGGCTTACTCCAACAAGGTATGTAGAGTTATCTCCCTTACACCACACCTGCATTGCTGCATGTACATGGCATGGTCGAGTCAGTGATGATTCCTGTGTTGTTTAGTCCCACTGTCTATGGTGTAATGGCTCATGAATGGCCTTGGAATGAAATGTTTGTGCTGTATTATCAATCGTGGAGTTGGACATTTTGTCCGGTGATGTGGATGAGGAAAATACTGCATGGCTTCAGTAAACTGATTTCGTATCGTTTGGTCTCAAGTATATATAACCATACATACACATAGTTAGGTGTGTAAAATACAATACAACATCCTGTATTTCTGCGGCAGAGCAGGGTGTCACCCCAAAGGTGACATCCTTACCATGTCAGTCTGGTTACAAGGTTATCCTCTGGGCCAGGGGAACAATGCATCCGACCTCAGATAAGAAGGTCTGTGATCACGTGACTTGGAGTTTTTATGGCCGCTGCATCGTTTGCCAACATGAGCAGCATGCTCATATTTATTTTGAGCAACATAAGTCTCAGTACCCTACTCTCCGACCCGGGCTAGGCCTTCTGTTCACGGGGGAGTATGTAGCAGGGCGGGGAGTCATCCCACAGATGACATACTTACATTGTCACACTGGTGAGGGGTTTAATGCCTTTGGTCATGTGGACAAGGTGCTTGACTTAGGATCAGAAGGTCCATGGTTTGAATCTCATCATGGGACACATTTTGTGACCGCTTCATTGCCATAACATTAAATGACAAATTGAATGATGTGTGGGGGCCTTTAGCTTTCTCCCATGTGGTGTTTCAGTTTAGGGACCAACAAAATCTTTTTGCATCTTTTTTTTTATAATGAGGACCCCTTTTAACCTTTATTCTATCCTGAGTTTGGTAATTACTTGAATTTGATTGGTCAGTCAGAGGTATCAAAACACAATAAAACCCCTCTGATTGAAACAGCCGATGCTACTTATCATCTGCCCCTTCCTACTGATGCCCCTCCCATCTTCTGCCACTCCCTACTGATCTCCCTCCATCATCTGCCCCTCCCCTGCCCTTCCCTACTGATGCCCCCTCCCATCATCTGCCCCTCCTACTGATGCCCCCTCCCATCATCTGCCCCTCCCCTGCCCTTCCCTACTGATGTCCCCTCCCATCATCTGCCCCTCCCTACTGATGTCCCCTCCCATCATCTGCCCCTCCCTACTGATGTCCCCTCCCATCATCTGCCCCTCCCTACTGATGTCCCCTCCATCATCTGCCCTTCCCTACTGATGTCCCCTCCCATCATCTGCCCCTCCCTACTGATGTCCCCTCCCATCATCTGCCCCTCCCTACTGATGTCCCTCCAATCATCTGCCCCTCCCTACTGATGTCCCTCTCATCATCTGCCCCTCCTACTGATGTCCCTCCATCATCTGCCCCTCCCTACTGATGCCCCCTCCCATCATCTGCCCCTCCCTACTGATGTCCCTCCAATCATCTGCCCCTCCCTACTGATGTCCCTCTCATCATCTGCCCCTCCTACTGATGTCCCTCCATCATCTGCCCCTCCCTACTGATGCCCCCTCCCATCATCTGCCCCTCCCTACTGATCTCCCTCCATCATCTGCCCCTCCCCTGCCCTTCCCTACTGATGCCCCCTCCCATCATCTGCCCCTCCTACTGATGCCCCCTCCCATCATCTGCCCCTCCCCTGCCCTTCCCTACTGATGTCCCCTCCCATCATCTGCCCCTCCCTACTGATGTCCCCTCCCATCATCTGCCCCTCCCTACTGATGTCCCCTCCCATCATCTGCCCCTCCCTACTGATGTCCCCTCCATCATCTGCCCTTCCCTACTGATGTCCCCTCCCATCATCTGCCCCTCCCTACTGATGTCCCCTCCCATCATCTGCCCCTCCCTACTGATGTCCCTCCAATCATCTGCCCCTCCCTACTGATGTCCCTCTCATCATCTGCCCCTCCTACTGATGTCCCTCCATCATCTGCCCCTCCCTACTGATGCCCCCTCCCATCATCTGCCCCTCCCTACTGATGTCCCTCCAATCATCTGCCCCTCCCTACTGATGTCCCTCTCATCATCTGCCCCTCCCTACTGATGTCCCTCTCATCATCTGCCCCTCCTACTGATGTCCCTCTCATCATCTGCCCCTCCTACTGATGTCCCTCCATCATCTGCCCCTCCTACTGATGTCGCTCCATCATCTGCCCTTCCCTACTGATGCCCCCTCCCATCATCTGCCCCTCCCTACTGATGTCCCTCCAATCATCTGCCCCTCCCTACTGATGTCCCTCTCATCATCTGCCCCTCCTACTGATGTCCCTCCATCATCTGCCCTTCCCTACTGATGCCCCCTCCCATCATCTGCTCCTCCCTTCTGATGTCCCCTCCCATCATCTGCCCCTCTCATCATCTGTCCTCCCATCATCTGCCCCTCCAATCATCTGCCCCTCCCATCATCTGTCCTCCCATCATCTGCCCCTCCCTACTGATGACCCTCCCATCATCTGCCCCTCCAATCATCTGTCCTCACCTCATCTTCCCCTCCCATCATCTGCCCCTCCCATGATTTGTCCTCTCATCATCTGCCCCTCCCTTCTGATGTGTCCTCCCATCATCTGCCCCTCCCTACTGATGTGTCCTCCCATCATCTGCCCCTCCCATGATTTGTCCTCTCATCATCTGCCCCTCCCTTCTGATGTGTCCTCCCATCATCTGCCCCTCCCTTCTGATGTGTCCTCCCATCATCTGCCCCTCCCTACTGATGTGTCCTCCCATCATCTGCCCCTCCCTTCTGATGTGTCCTCCCATCATCTGCCCCTCCCATGATTTGTCCTCTCATCATCTGCCCCTCCCTACTGATGTGTCCTCCCATCATCTGCCCCTCCCTACTGATGTGTCCTCCCATCATCTGCCCCTCCCTTCTGATGTGTCCTCCCATCATCTGCCCCTCCCTACTGATGTGTCCTCCCATCATCTGCCCCTCCCTTCTGATGTGTCCTCCCATCATCTGCCCCTCCCTTCTGATGTGTCCTCCCATCATCTGCCCCTCCCTACTGATGTCCCTCCCATCATCTGCCCCTCCCTTCTGATGTGTCCTCCCATCATCTGCCCCTCCCTTCTGATGTGTCCTCCCATCATCTGCCCCTCCCTTCTGATGTGTCCTCCCATCATCTGCCCCTCCCTTCTGATGTGTCCTCCCATCATCTGCCCCTCCCTTCTGATGTGTCCTCCCATCATCTGCCCCTTCCTACTGATGTGTCCTCCCATCATCTGCCCCTCCCTACTGATGTGTCCTCCCATCATCTGCCCCTCCCATGATTTGTCCTCCCATCATCTGCCCCTCCCTTCTGATGTGTCCTCCCATCATCTGCCCCTCCCTACTGATGTGTCCTCCCATCATCTGCCCCTCCCTACTGATGTGTCCTCCCATCATCTGCCCCTCCCTACTGATGTGTCCTCCCATCATCTGCCCCTCCCATCATCTGTCCTCCCATCATCTGCCCCTCCCTACTGATGTCCCTCCCATCATCTGCCCCTCCAATCATCTGTCCTCCCATCATCTGTCCTCCCATCATCTGCCCCTCCCTACTGATGTCCCTCCCATCATCTGCCCCTCCAATCATCAGTCCTCACATCATCTGTCCGCCAATCATCTGCCCCTCCCATGATTTGTCCTCCCATCATCTGCCCCTCCCTTCTGATGTGCCCTCCCATAATCTGCCCCTTCCATCATCTGCCCCTCCCATCATCTGTCCTCCCATCATCTGCCCCTCCCTACTGATGTCCCTCCCATCATCTGCCCCTCCAATCATCTGTCCTCACATCATGTCCGCCAATCATCTGCCCCTCCCATCATCTGCCCCTCCCATCATCTGTCCTCCCATCATCTGCCCCTCCCTACTGATGTCCCTCCCATCATCTGCCCCTCCAATCATCTGTCCTCTCATCATCTGCCCCTCCCTTCTGATGTCCCCTCCCATCATCTGCCCCTCCCATCATCTGTCACTCCCTACTGATGCCCCTCCCATCATCTGCCCCTCCCTACTGATGTCCCTCCCATCATCTGCCCTCCCATCATCTGTCACTCCCTACTGATGCCCCTCCCATCATCTGCCCCTCCCTACTGATGTCCCTCCCATCATCTACCCCTCCCATCATCTGCCCCTCCAATGATTTGTCCTCCCATCATCTGCCCCTCCCATCATCTGTCCTCCCATCATCTGCCCCTCCCTACTGATGTCCCTCCCATCATCTGCCCCTCCAATCATCTGTCCTCACATCATCTGCCCCTCCCATCATCTGCCCCTCCCATGATTTGTCCTCCCATCATCTGCCCCTCCCTTCTGATGTCCCCTCCCATCATCTGCCCCTCCCATCATCTGCCACTCCCTACTGATGTCCCTCCCATCATCTGCCCCTCCCTACTGATGTCCCTCCCATCATCTGCCCCTCCCTACTGATGTCCCTCCCATCATCTGCCCCTCCCTACTGATGTCCCCTCCCATCATATCTGCCCCTCCCATCATCTGCCCCTCCCATCATCTGTCCTCCCATCATCTGCCCCTCCCTTCTGATGTCCCCTCCCATCATCTGCCCCTCCCTACTGATGTCCCCTCCCATCATCTGCCCCTCCCTACTGATGTCCCTCCCATCATCTGCCCCTCCCTACTGATGTCCCCTCCCATCATATCTGCCTCTCCCATCATCTGCCCCTCCCTACTGATGTCCCTCCCATCATCTGCCCCTCCCTACTGATGTCCCTCCCATCATCTGCCCCTCCCTACTGATGTCCCTCCCATCATCTGCCCCTCCCTACTGATGTCCCCTCCCATCATCTGCCCCTCCCTACTGATGTCCCTCCCATCATCTGCCCCTTCCTACTGATGTCCCTCCCATCATCTGCCCCTTCCTACTGATGTCCCTTCCTGATAATATCTCCAGACACCATTACCTTACCGTCTACACTATCCTACCCTTCATATTACCTGCCACTATTCAGCACCTATGAACATCGGGGTAGAATAGGTCTTCAGCAACCCATACTTGCCATAAGTGTAGACTAACGGGATCGGGTGGTTAGTCTCGCTGACATGGTTGATGCATGACAATTTATCCCAATTGCGTAGATCGATGCTCATGATGTCAGTCACTGGTTTGCCTGGTCCAGACTTGGTTATTTACTGCTGTCATATAGCTGGAATATTGCCGAGTACGGCGTTAAACAACAAACAAAATCCCACTATTCAGTCAATAACAAAACACCGCACACAAACCAAAAAAGCTCACAAATTTGTAACACCATAATTAATTTCAACAGCCTGAACATTAAATTTAACAGCTCTCTACCCCTTGCATATGCCCTGAATTACACCAGCTCAGCTCCGAGGAGAAGGAAGAACACAAACAGTGCTTATACATGTAGTGGGATGTTGACCTGGGTAAGCTATTCCCCATGTGTCTTGTCATGCAGAAGGGAGGTAGGGAGACTAATTACTGTTAGTCAGATCCTGCTTTGATCCCTCTACATCGAGGTAAAGAGTGGGGGCTTGACAGGACATCCGGGTCTTCAACATGGAAATTACACGAGTATCATAATAATTAGACTTGGATGGTCATGATGGCCACTGACCTATATTTATTTTTAGGACTTTTTGAAAAAAAAGATCTCAGGAGATTGTGAGAGGCAATTAAAAAAAATAAGCCAGCAATGTTGTACCAGGTTTATAACATTGTAAATGTCTTGCTATGAATGGGGATGGATTTATAGGTTGTGTATTTTGTTGAGAGTACTAGCAGTGCAAACTTACTGGGACTTCCCGTATTTAAGCCCTGGGCCTAATTATGGAAAATAGCGCTTCCTCATTTAAGATATGTTATCAAGAATTAAGTCCAGGGCTTATGCTTTCTTACCTAAATAGGGGATGCCCTTTGCTGAAAAAATCAGAAACTTTTAATTTTTTGTAACTGAGTAAATATAAAACTTGAATTTTAACTTTGAACGGGAAGTAACTTCACGGTATCCAAACCTTGAACTTGCACGAACTGTTAAATGCACATTAAGATTTTGTCTCATGTAGTGCATCGCCACGTATTAACTTTCAAAGGGAGTAAGTTAATAATTTAAGGAAGTCCACTCCAAAATAAATTTCTGAATTTGAGAACATAGGTTTAACTACAGAATTATTTATTCATATTTATTTCCTTGAGCATAATTATGCGTTGGCCTAAATATGGACAGTCTTGGTGTGTGTTTCTCTGTAGTATCTGAAGATGATTTTTGCGTTCTGCTGTAATAGTTATTTGTACTGTGGAATCGCAGACCTCTGTTGGATTTTAATAATTCACACACTATGTTAACTAAATTTAACTCAACTCACTCGATCACCAGTGAGCCCTTCGGTAGCAGGGTTTTGTCCTATTGGTATGCTGATTCGCCAGGCAAAGTTTGTAAACTTTTTGTGTTGTTTTTGTTCACCACTGAAACCGTGGGTGCCGCCATTTTGTTTGAAGCAAATGCAGGTGATAAGAGAGGCGGAATCTGATTGGTCAATAGGAGGGACATAGAAGGGACATAACTCATAATAGCCATTGGTGGTGCTACGATCGAGCTCAGAAATTCCAGCCTAGTTCAGCAAGGGTGGAAGCTGGACTTTTACAGTCAGTTAACTCCATTGCCTCGGGGAGATGCTAAGGGCAGTACCCAAAATAATACTCATAAAATGCAACCTTAAATACGATATAAGGAGAAGGAGAAATGCTGCAGCCATGTGTATTGCTATAACACACAACAATGAGAGGTTAAAATGTGTTTCATTTCTTGACAAAGCTGCCTTTCTGTTTAATACATGTGAAATGACAATAAAGTTACAAAAAACACGTAGGACATCAGAGCTGCAAAATCATCAAGTAGCATGATTGATTCTTAAGTATTTATGTCAACAGTCTAGGGTTCAATTTCCCTGACACATATCAGACGAAGTCTATAATCTCAATACCAAGGTATGTTAATTGTAATGCTTATATTCATGATTGAATCAACAAGTGAAATGATTTTGCTTTAATGAAGATGTCCCTTGGAGGCCGCTAACCAGAGTCCTGCACCCAAGGGTTCACTAGGTAGGGCAACTCTGGTCGACCAAAGTATGACGGAAATAAGTTGACATGAGCTAACATTGGTCAACCAAGGTTAACTTGGGTTACGTCTTGGTCAACATGGGTTTACCTTTGAAATTGAACGCATGCAGTGATTGCGTGATATAGTACCCATCGACACTGATCCTGCTGAATTGACTGTCCATGACTTGGTGATTCCCTGGCCACAGTGACCTCTGTGGTCTAGTGGATAGAGTGGTCTAGTGGATAGAGTGGTCTAGTGGATAGAGTGGTCTAGTGGCTAGAGCGGTCTAGTGGCTAGAGCAGTCTAGTGGATAGAGCGGTCTAGTGGCTAGAGCGGTCTAGTGGCTAGAGCAGTCTAGTGGATAGAGTGGTCTAGTGGCTAGAGCAGTATAGTGGCTAGAGCAGTCTAGTGGATAGAGCGGTCTAGTGGCTAGAGTGGTCTAGTGGATAGAGCAGTCTAGTGGATAGAGCGGTCTAGTGGCTAGAGCGGTCTAGTGGATAGAGCGGTCTAGTGGCTAAAGCGGTCTAGTGGATAGAGTGGTCTAGTGGATAGGGTGGTGGTTTGATCTCCGGTCTCATCAGAACAAAACATGTTAAAAGATCATTGTTGTTTCCCTGCCTGGCTATGCATTATGGGGATAAAACATTGACTGGTTGGCGGTATGCTGTGTCAGAATGAGGTGACCATCTTTTACAGTGGCATGGTATCTCAGTGGGCAAGCACTATTAAACCTTCGTTAGTACAAGAATACACACACATCCACCACCCCCATCCCCACCACCTCCACATACACACACACCACCACCACCACCACCACCACACACACCACCACCACCACCACCGACACCACCACCACCACCACCACACACACACACACATCCACCCCCCATCCCCAACACCTCCACATACATACACACACACCACCACCACCACCACCACCACCACCACCACAGACACCACCACCACCACCACACACACCACCACCACCACCACCACACACACCAAAACACACCACCACCACCACCACCACCACACACACCACCACCACCACCACCACACACACCAACACACACCATCGCTATAAGAGTGCAACCCATGAAGATCACGGTTAGAACAAGTCTTCAGTAACCCATGTTTGCCGTAAAAAGCGACTATGCTTGTCATAAGAGGCGACTAACAGGATCAGGTGGTCAGGTTCACTGACTTGGTTGATGCATGTCATCGTATCCCAACTGCGTGGATCAATGCTCATGATGTCAATCACTGAATTGTCTGGTCCAGGCTCAATTATTTACAGACCGCCTTCATATAGCAGGAATATTCCTGAAAGGGGCGTTAAACAACAAACAAACTATAAAAGTGCAATCCCATTTCACCTCACCTACAGGTCACAGAGATGTAGATGAAATATTCCTGACTGCCATATATAGCAGTACAAACATTAAACTCAAGAAAAAGATTTGCTGAAGTGGGGCAACAATCTAAGGACAAGTCATGTTAATACAACATATTTATGTGATGGTCTACAAGTTTGTAGCTCAAATTCAAGTTAACAAATGTTTTTGTATTCTGACCTTTGAAATGTTTAACTGCCTTGTTTACTGATGATGATTGATGGATTGATTTCTTTGTATTTCTAGGGAATCTATTACTGGGAGGCAGTAGGTGTTTGGTTTTGTCCTCTGTTAAATCACTGTCGCTTCAGTAACTTTACCACCAGTGTTGCATGTATGCTATGTACTTTTCAAATGCCATAGTTGTGTTGTGAACCCTATCTGTGCTATTACTTTTCCTGAGAAGAAAAATTAATCAAATATTTCAGTTTCGAAAGAAACTATCTGTCAGGCGAACATGTGATATGGGCTGATGATGTGATGACGTTTTATGACGTTGACAAGTCAAATGTTGTTATTCTTGTCCATTGTTTATTTCAGCCAAATAATATTTCTTTGCTGTTTAGGCGGTGGGGTTAGAAACTAACAGTTTCAGTCCACTAGTCCTTATGATGATAACATATAGCAAACCCCTTAAAATGGGCCAATTTCTACTGGTCCTTAGGATACCTTTTCTATAGGGCAGTTTGGTAAGGACTATAGGACTAGTGCCAAGTTCCAATGCTGCGTATGGTTAAAGCGTTTGCTCGTCATTTTAGAGGCCCGAGTTCAATTTCTCGCATTGGTACAAAGTTTGTTTAATTGAACAAACATTACTAATAATGGAAAATATGTGATATGCAAAATCGGAACTTATTTAATAATAATGCAGAACATGAAAACTTACTGCTGTACATAATGTTTCCACCCCATGGGGACTCCGGGTTAGAATTGCTGCTCCCCAGCAACCTATGCTGGTTCTAAGAGGCAATTTAATGGATCAGGTGGTCAGACTCGATGACTTGGTCGATGGTGTGTCATCGTACCCCAGGGGCGGTCAGGTAGCCTAGTGGTCAAAGCGTTCGCTCGCCATGCCGAAGACCCGGGTTCGATTCCCGACATGGGTACAATGTGTGAAGCCCATTTCTGGTGTCCCCTTCTGTGATATTGCTAGAATATTGCTAAAAGCGGTGTAAAACCATACTCACTCACTCACTCACTCATCATACCCCAGTGATGTGGATAGTTGCTCACAATATCAATCACTGGATTATCTCGTCCAACCTCAATTCTTTGCAAGCTGCCGTCATGGAGCTGGAATATTGCTGAATGCAGAATTAAACAACAAACAAACAAACGACATAAAGTTTCCAGACTTTGGCATTGCAATTCGCCATGTTTCTCAGGTGTGCTGAGTCCTAGGTTCAAATCCCAGATTCACCCTTGTTATAATTCTTGGGGGTGGTCAGGTAGCCTAGTGGTTAAAGCGTTCGCTTGTCACGCCGAAGACCCGGGTTCGATTCCCGACATGGGTACAATGTGTGAAGCCCATTTCTGGTGTCCCCCGCTGTGATATTGCTGGAATATTGCTAAAAGCGTCACTCACTCACTCACTCACTCACTCACTCACTCACTCACTCACTCACTCACTATAATTCTTGATGTTTCAGCACCATCAGTGTTCGTAATTAAGGGGTCTTCATGTGAAAAAGGAAATATTTACTCTGCCCTAGATTCACATACATAGTTGCAAACCTCAAGACCCCTAGACTCCCCTTAATTTCGAACACTGTCCATCTTCATGGGTTTCACCATTGATGTATGTCTAAGACCTGGCTTCAGGCTTTCCTTCCACATTAAGCTGACACACCATGATAAAACTAACAGCAATGCTGTTCAAAACAGTGTTAAACTCACGTGTTTCCATTGTTTGTCAGGATTTATCACATTGCAGATTAGATATATCCTGACAAACACATTGCAAATCCTACATGAACTACCAATGTTTCCGGCCCGTGAAGATCCGGGGTAGAATAGGTCTTCAGCAACCCATGCTTGCCGTAAAAGGCGACTATGCTTGTCGTAAGAGGCTACTAACGGGATCGGGTGGTCAGGCTCGCTGACTTGGTTGATGCATGTCATCGATCCCAATTGCGTGGATTGATGCTTATGATATCAATCACTGGATTGTCTGGTCCAGACTTGATTATTTACAGACCTCCGTCATATAGCTGGAATATTGCTGAGTGCAGCGTTAAACACCAAACCAACCAACAACATTGCAAATTAGTATGAAAATACAAAGTAATTAAAAACCTTTGTAACAGCAACATTTTGCTTTCTTACTGGTTGTAATTATCACTGCATTTCTTGGAATGTACATGGAAAACAAAAGGACCTATATTGTTGTTGCTTTTGAAAGCTTGATTGGTCTGTTTGAGAGGCTTTTGTTCACTGTATTGTTGTCATGAACAGTTTGCTTTGCACATTGTGGCCTGTATAGAGTTTGCCACTGGAATCGTTGTCCTGTCCTCACTGAATCCTAATTCATGCCATCTTTCTTTATTAACAAAACGTGGACAACAAAAATGACTTGACCTCATTTCCACAATGGCTTTGGGGCACAGGTGGCCCAGTCGTCTAAGGTGCCGCAATTCGCTGTGCAGAGTCGCATCCCTTGGGCACGCAAGGATCCTATGATTGTGGATTCGAATCCCGGTTCGCCCCGATTATGTTTCTAGGTTTGTCAGCACCATACCCGTGCTTGTGGGTTTCACCGAAGTGGTAAACGTCTGAGACCTGCATCACTTGGGGCTTTCCTCCCACATTAAGCTGACATGCTGTGATATAACTGGAATACTGTTAAAAGCGGCGTTAAACCCAACTCACTCACCCCACAATGGTCCGGTGGAAGAACAGTTCCTCTGATGTCAGAACAGATGTTTTTTTTATTCAGGAACATTTGGTATCATCACTGTTTATAGGTGATTCCGAAACACATGCTCATGATATTGTTGGAGAACACACGCTCATGATATTGTTGGAGAACACATGCTCATGATATTGTTGGAGAACACATGCTCATGATATTGTTGGAGAACACATGCTCATGATATTGTTGGAGAACACATGCTCATGATATTGTTGGAGAACACATGCTCATGATATTGTTGGAGTCACACAATGGACTCTGCTTTTAGTAGAGATTTCTTATGATAATAAAAATGTGTTTTGTTGTTTTTATTTATTGGGTGGTTAGAATGTGTGATCTGCGTGATTGTTTATCATTACTCTTTATAGAATGTGGCTGTCTGATTGGCCAATTTGTCGTCATAATGTTTAATGTGATGTCATTTGCTTGTCACAACACAATTATGTTGTTTGCATTTCAAATTGGTGGTCTCAACATGGATATAATATAACAAATATTTCACCCAAAGTGAACTGTGTCACATTCCCTGAACCATATTATTTTCCCTTCTGCCAAGGCTCTTACATTTTATCCCTTCAGCGAATTCAGGTAAACAAACAGATGATAACAATTAGACTCGGTCAATACAAATTTGAGATAAAACATCACAAGACATGATGGTATTTCCTGTTCGCTTGGCATTGTTTTTAATGCAGAGATCAAGATTACTGTGTGTATTGTCTTGGAAACTAAGCAAGAAACAGCAATCAGCTGTACACATATTTTCTCCCAATCTACCGGTGATTCGTTTAAAAATTACCTAATCATATTATCTTAAAGAATTTTAATACAATGATCGGTAGATTTTTTTCTGAAACTATTAGTTTATAAGGAATAGTTTTTTCCAATATCATGTTATTTTAGTTGCAGCCTTACTATTTATGTTTGAAGTATATTAATAACTTTAAGAGTAGCATTTTGGTTCAGCTGATCGCTTTTGCTGGATATTTTTTACATTGGGAACAGTTTGACTTGCCTTCCTCGACGATCAGCTGAGGGTCGGCCATTGTCGCCTTCAGGGATTATCACGGTTCGACCTTGGTGCACAGGTGGCCAAGTCGTCTAAGGCGCCGCGATTCGCTGTGCAGAGTTGTGTCCCTTGGGCACGCCAGAAACCTATGATTGTGGGTTCGAATCCCGGTTCTTCCCAATTATGTTTCTAGGTTTGTCAGCACCATACCCGTGCTCGTGGGTTTCACCTAAGTGGTAAATGTCTGAAACCTGCATCACTTCGCGCTTTCCTCCCACAATAAGCTGACACGCCGTGATATAACTGGAATACTGTTAAAAGCGGCGTTAAACCCAACTCACTCACTCACTCACAGTTTGACCTGAAGACGTGTCCCGTCAAATTCTCCCTGCACCCGAGACTGCTCCACACAGGCTCACATCCCAAATGATATCTGGTATCTCGATGTACCGGCCCATATTCACATGGTTTCTGTCGCACTTGTTTGTACGATCATTTCGGCTACATGGTCAAGTCATACCTTCAAGACGCCTTCCTGCATGTACCCATCCATCAGGTACTCTTCCAATACCTCTAATTTCTTTTCCAAGGTCTTCATTACCAGCTCACATTGACCAGGACGTCCTCAACAAGCATCTCGACTTCACGCCGAGATTACTTCATCAACTTGGATGGCTTGTCGACACAGAGAAATCGGAGACCATGTTCACTTGTCAATTGCAGTTCATTGGAGCTGTCTTTGATACCAACTTGGGGAAGATGTTCGTCCCTCCGGACAGATGCTTGAAGATACAATGCCTCTTGCCATGGCACACAGACAGTCTTTCCTCTTACGATCGTGGAAGCAGCTTCTTGGTCTTTTGACATCGGCGCAAGCTAGAGGTACCAACTACAACATCGTCCGCTTCAGTGTTTCCTGAAGCCCTATCTATATCTACAGGACAACTGCTGGATCCTCATTCCCCTCCTGCTGTCGCTGCACCATCATCTAGAGTGGTGGCTGTCCAAGTCAACGGGGTCTCTTTGAAGCCATTTGTCCCGACTCAACATCTGTTTCTGGACGCATCGGCCATGGGTTGAGGAGCTCACCTTCAGAATCTTCAGGTAGCACGGTGCTGGTCCACAGTCGAATCAACCCTCCACATCAGCATCCTCGAGTTCAAGGATGTCATTGTGGCAGTTTCTCATTGGGCTGCAGTTCTCCGGACATCGCATCTCATGATTCAGTCAGGCAACATCTCAATCGTTAAATATGTCAACAGGATGTGCTCTTCACCAAGTCATCTCTGGCAATGGAATTCTTACAATTTGTCAACTGTCTGGGAATTCAAGTCTGAGCAAGACACA